AAAAAAAATAAATTCTTTTATTAAAAACTAGTTGGATTCGAAGTGGAACTACTTTGGGAAACTCTAAAAATTGAAAGTCGCGTTTTGTAACCTTTTTACCTTCAGGAATAGTAAAAAATGTTTAGTTACACTTTCTCTTATCATTTTAGCAAGATTGGATCCTAATAAAAATTACAGATTGCACCGAAAATACTAGATAACCGAAGTCATTTTAGGAGCTCTACCCCGACCCTTCCATCACAGTCTATGGCGGAGACGAACGTGTTGATTGTATGGACGTGCACGTCAAGGATAAGCAGGAATTTGTCGCCGGCGGACTCAAGGTTGCACAACATTGGCCAGTATACCCATTCAGGTGCAAGCCCTCTCAACCCCATGCCACACGAAGGGTCACATTTGCTATTACGTCCAAAATAATGAAGAAAAGGCTGTCTTGACCGGAGACACGCTGTTCATCGCCGGCTGTGGGAAATTTTTTGAAGGTATGATTTTCGCCGTTTACAGAAATAAATATGAATTGAGGTACTGCTGAGCAAATGCAGCGAAACCTGAACGAGGTGCTATCCGGGCTACCCGATGAAACGCTTGTCTACCCAGGGCACGAATATACGGCCTCGAACCTCAAATTTGCGAAACACATTGAGCCGAATAATAAGGTAAGAAAAATGACATACTACAAAACTTGCATTTTAGGACGTTGAGGAGAAACTGGTTTGGGCACTTGGCCGTCAAAAGTCTGGACAGCCCACGGTGCCATCAACCATCGGCGAGGAGAAGCGGATCAACCCTTTTATGCGTGTCGGCACTGTTGCGATTCAGGAAAAGGTTTGTTATGTTGTGTGTCTGTCCGGATTTGAAGCCTTCCCTAATTTACGAAATACCGTATTCATTTCCAGGTCAATGCCAAGGATCCGGTTGAAGTGATGGGAAAGCTAAGAGAAGCGAAGAACAACTTCCGCGCTTGATTTTTTGAACCCTGTGATTATTCGGCGTCTCACTTTTGCACTCGATTTTTAGATAATAAACGTCTTGTAGTATTGGCCGCGCATAAACAACCAGCATTACGGAAAGCTATCAGTTTCTAGTTTGGAATACGCATAACATATCGTTTTTTGCCTCTTTAGAATGGCAGACGGCCAGAACGACCTTGAAACAGCACAAGGGGCTGTGTTGGTGAAATCCTGCGAAGTACCGGCCAACAGCCTACCAATAAAAGGTGTGTTTAACAACGCTCGTCGATATCTAACATTTATTACAAAAACAAACTCTTAATATCCTACAAATGCTATATAATAACTAAACAAAAACGAACAGTGCGATCTGATCAATGCCGAGACGAACAACTTGGTGTCGTGGCAGGAGTTTCGCCTTTAGCTGAAGCTGGCCTCACTTTGGCCGGGTCGATGAGAATATGGGGGCAAAACTAAAGCGAAAAATATGGGATTATATAAAACACGAATCGAACCTTTTCCTTACAACGCTTATTGCACTGCTGGGTTCGCCAAGAGTAGGGGCCGAGGTTGTACAGGCACTTTGGGCAACGAATCTAAAAAAAATACCTCAAAAAAGCAAACATTTCGCACCTTGTCTTCAAACCGATCCATCACCATCCAATCCATTTGACGTATAATGTTCACTTTGCAAGGCTAAAGAACTATTATTAGCTATTAGATTTACTTTACCGCGCCAGAAATATCGTTGTGCTGTCGCAGATCGTCCGTAGTGAACAGTTCAACCTTGCAATTCAGGCAGCAAAATCGGTCCTATTTCCAAGAAATTAAGATATTTTCGTAACTATACCTTTTCGGCGGTATCTGTTCGACGCCATGAATTAGGGACGAAGTGCATGAGGCGTCTAAACGCAATTTATATTTTCCTTCAACGATAACCCACGTAATTTCTGGTAGCGGCAATTCTTTAACGTGCCGAAAGTTGGTTATCAATTGGTAGTGCAGATTTAGCTGTTCCAGAAAACCTAATAAAGTAGACGTTTAGATATTGGCCTATATCTACCTGGTTTAATCTCGATCTTTGGTTTACAGCCCTTCAAATGAGCTAGCGCTTCTTCAACGTGCCATTCATTTCTAAAAGATCGTAGATGTCAGATGAAATCCTTACTTTTCCATCAAGTAGGCACACGCTATTGCGGCCGAGCGATTTCGGCCATTGCGAGAGTAGAGTAGAACATCCTTTTCCAAATGCCACGCATCTAAATAAGACGTTAAAACTTTAACACTAAATCCTACTGTTGATTATATCGTAAGCAGTGTCGAGATGTACGACAATGTTCTCGAGATCATTGTCGTGGATGGGAAAATGGTGGTAGATAACTCTCTAAAGTTATTTTCAAGCAAAAAAAGGCAACTGACCTTGGTTTTGAGCTGCTCGGGAAATGGCGTCTCGGTGGTGGCAATGACATGGAAGATTTCTAAAAAATGGGGGATAAAAAGAAGCAAAAAATTGGCTGACTTTTTTCACGTAGAAAGTGGTGATCCTTGGCGGCGTTGATGTCGCCCAGCCACAAATAATCCCAAATTAGAACGGCCATCGAATTATCGAGGATTTACGCGAAAATAGCTTTGGGTTGGGGGCTTCGCTTTTTGCGCGCTACCGTACCACGCGTGATACAGTATTTATTATGCGGCATTGTTGCAGATCGGAAAAAAGTTGGATGGCCTTGTTTGCGTTTTCATAAAAATAAATCCTAGTTTAAGTAAGGTTAATACGTCGTTTTCATTATTAAAAATAAATGTTTCTTTTTTAGGCTATGACTTCAACGATGGCGTGGATTTTGACGGGCTCATGCGGAGCTATCTGACCACCGGATTCCAGGCATCACATATGGCGCGCGCAATTGAGGTACCTTAACAAGGTTATAACGTACGTATTATATTTTTTCAGCAAATCAATGACATGCTGAAGAAACGGGAAGACCTCTCCGAGCTCGAGGATCCGGCAGAATGCTTCCCCTACCCGGCCGGCAGGCGGAAGACGGGCTGCACGATATTCCTCGGCTACACCAGTAATTTGGTCAGCTCCGGGCTGCGGGAGGTATAAGCCTGTGTTAAAATAAAAGTATCGATCACCGCTGTAAAAAGCAAAAAATTTCAGTTCAAAATTCCAAAAAGCAAAAAGTGCTTCCCATGCCGGGAATCGAACCCGGGCCGCGTGGGTGAAAACCACGAATCCTAACCACTAGACCACATGGGAGGATGGAAGGGGGTCGGCAGGGGCGCTAGACATGCCCGCCCTCCCCGGGCGCCTGGGCTCTCTGTGCTGGTGTGGGGCGGGCGGGGTAGAAAAGGCCTCCCCGCTCCCCTCCTCCTGTGCGTTCGTGGTGTAATGGTCAGCATGGATGCCTTCCAAGCATTCGACGGGGGTTCGATTCCCCCCGAACGCAAAGTTTTTGCTTTTTGGACGGTAGTTTCTTTAGGGTATCTGGAAGCTTATGTAAGCTTATCTTGTCGAAAATAAATTGTTTAAGCCTCCAAATCGTCGGTATTTCAGATAGAAAAAATAAAAACAAAAAAAAAAAAAACAGAAAAAACAACACAACAATAGGAAATTTACATATTTATGGAGTAATTTAAAACTAATCAATGTTTTAGATACTCCGATTCCTGGCCCAACACAATCTTATCGACTGTATTGTGACAAGTGCGGGCGGTGTTGAAGAAGACTTGATAAAATGTCTTAAAAGCTCTTACCTCGGCCATTTCAAGATGGACGGCAAGGAATTACGGTAAATCTAAGCTTCTCTTATTAGTTTATTTATTTTTAGATCAAAAGGCCTAAATCGCGCCGGAAATGTGTTGATCCCTAATGACAACTACTGTGCGTTCGAGGTATAGTTCTGGGTATCTACTAATTGACTGTTTGTTTTCAGGATTGGCTGAATCCGATCCTCGACAAATGTATGGAAGAGCAAATGAACGATCAGATCAACTGGACGCCAAGCAAATTAATTCACCGGTATATGGCCTTTCTCCGCTTGATCAGCTTTCTCTAGATTGGGCAAAGAAATCAACAACGAGGAGTCGATACTCTACTGGGCCGCCCACCACTCGATTCCCGTTTTTTGTCCCGCGCTGACAGGTTAGAATTCTTCGCTTATTTTCGGTGAACTTGCTTTTAGACGGTTCCCTCGGTGATATGCTGTATTTCCATTCTGTCCGAAACGCGCCTGGGCTACGCTTGGATATTGTTGAGGTAAATATAGCATTATCAATTTTTTTATGCCAATTTAGGATGTACGCCATATTAATACGATGGCCGTGAAGAGCGTCAAAACGGGCGTGCTGATCCTGGGCGGTGGTGTTGTTAAGGTATAATAATTACGGGTTCTTTCGCATTAGCGGGGGGGGGAGGGATTTTTTTTTCCTATAGGCGGAGAAATGCCTAATAAGTGTTTTAGTAGGGTTTATAATGAAAATTATTGAAGTGGAAAAATCATAAAAAAATAGTTCCTCGAGTTACATTAGAAAAATTGGATCCTTAGAAAAAAGTTGGACCCCCGATAATGCGAAAGAACTTCCTTAAGAGCTATTCTAAAATTTCTATGAATTTAGCACCACATCAACAACGCGAATCTGATGCGAAATGGCAGCGACTACACCGTCTATATCAACACTGGCCAGGTAGCTGAAATTTCATCGGAATATAAAAATTTGCTTTCCAGGAATTCGACGGGTCCGACTCTGGTGCAAGCCCGGATGAAGCTGTGAGCTGGGGAAAGGTGTTTCAAAACAAAGTAATTTGTTTAAAAATTTCTAGATCAAGCCTCTGGCCTCTGCCGTCAAAGTCTACGCCGAAGCGACGCTCGTCTTCCCCCTAATCGTCGCCCAAACCTTTGCAAAGGTTGTCGAGAAGCGCAAGCAGCAGCTGTGAACTTGTTGAATTTTTCTTTTTTTTACTTTTGTGGTGATGTTGTTGACGTTATAAATATATTTTATCAGAAGAAATTGCCCATTTGGCATATCATCGTAAAAATGTCGCATTTACTCGTCGCTATTTGGGGTTCCGGGGTCGGCTTTGCGCAATTCCTCGATGAGATTATCCGAGTATTCGAGGCCGACGTCCAGATCACCGACGTGTTCGCCGTTGACGTCGTACACTAGATAGCGTTGTTTTAGGCTTAGAATTGGTAGAGAAAGGCTTGTTTATTAGCGGGGGGGTAGCTAGACAATTTTGAATAGAATTTTACGCTCTTTCTAGTGATCAAAAGTTTACAACTAACCTAATTTACGAATTTTTCGTCTAAAGTATCAAAAATGGTCCAAAAATTCAAAACTTTTGACCCAAAAAATGTTCTATCACTTTTTCGTAAGGCCGGAAAAGCCTTATATAGTTAGTTTCGGCTGTGGAGGGTAGGCTAAATAAATGAAGTAAGCGCCCCCCCCGCTAATGAATAAGAACCGAGGATGTTTTGTTTTGTATAGACTCACGAGCTAACGTTAATCGATCCTGTCGGCTGAATGGTGATGGTTCCACGGATGCGACCGCAATCTCATCACTGTTTTCCCCTAAACGGAACTTTCACCTTTTCCGCCTAAAACAAACCCTGGTCTGTATTCAGATTAAATTCAAGCCGATTTCCAAGTCGTAGCCATTGACTCAGAAGATGGAATCGTCGGCTGTCGAAGAAATACGCTGAAATTTCAGAATTTCCTGGTCAGTGACTAGGCAAACTTTTCTCAAAATTAAAGTTGGCTGCTTCGGTAGATTTTCTGGGGATTGGAGCGGAATTGGGGACGCGACACTCATCGATCGGTAAATCGAGGAGGCACCTGAGTAAAGTTAAGGTTTTTGGGGAGTTGAAACTCACCAGTCGACGTAGACATTCACACCCTCGTAGGTCTTGCCAAGGAGTAAGGAATCCTCGTGGACGTACAGGGAATCGATGCGTACTTTTAGCCACAGGTCGACAACTTCGCGCCATTTCTGAATCCGTTTGTTATTGAGTTTTTATTTCTGTTAGATAGGCGATCAGTCCGTATTTTGACGTACCGGTTCGCGTATTTCTCGATAGGCTAGATTGCTTTTTCCATCAGCTTCGCGAAGTTCTATTCCTGGCTTTCGTGGGGTGGAGCCGAGATCCGAGGTATCGGAGGCTGAAATCAGGGATTTTTGGTGGTAATTTTAACGCTGTTCCAAGTAATTGAAAATGGCTATTACAGCGATGAAAACTACTGGAATTACTTACCAGGGATCGAGTTGTGCAGCGGGTCCGTAAATTTCAACCTCGTATCGCGAATCGGCTCCTCCTCGGGTGGTATCAATGGCTAAAAAAAATCGTAGATTTAAATTCAGGAAAAGCTACTCACCCTAGATAGCCTCGGCTTCGCGATCGGGGGAAAATTGCCAAGCATCTCCCGGATTTCATCGACTCGCCCGGGCTGGTCGGTTTCTGAATGTGCAAATTTCGAGTGCTGGTGCGTTAGCGGGGGGAGGGGGCTCTCCTATGTGACCGTAGGTGCTTTGATTTGAATTTAAAAGTCATTTTTAATAGCATTTCATCCAACTTTTAGACCGAAACTTATCAGAATCTACTACAAATTTCTAAAATTTTTGCGTATTATTCAAATTTGATGGAAAAAAGATAGATTTCAAATGTTTAATAGCGTTCTACCTACTTTAAGGGGACCAGAGCCAAACTTCGATCTCCACTTACCAAGACTGCTCCTACTCGAGGCGCTCGGCGTCTCTGCTGCCGGCCTCGGGGTGGCTTCATGAGTTTCCGGAGGGCTTTGTCCGAAGGTGGAGCTTGGCGGGCTTGGCTTCAGCACGCTGTCGCCTTTCACCGATTCTAAGATTTTGCGCTGTTTCAGTTTTACGATATTTTGATTTTTAAAACGTTTAAGTTGCCCTTACCTATAGAAGTTGAAGGAGATCGTATAATTGGCTGGGGCTCGTTGGTGCTTGTTCGTCTCGGAGGTATCGGCATTATTTTATCGATGTCCGGGTCGAAGGAGCCTTCCGGAGAGGATAATTCAGCCGGTTCCTACAACACAAAAAGTTTTCAAAACTTGTTGAAGTCGTCGGTTACCTGTTGCTGTAGATGAGCCGACGGTCCGTCCAAAATTACCGTAGCTGGAGATGATCGTGAGGTAGATGGGGTCGGGGGGCTATAAGTAATTTTTGCTATATTTCAAATGGAATAACGATTTAGAAAATTTAAAAAATGTAAACTATCTCATTTTTGGAATTTTTACAAAAAAAATTGTAGAATTTTACGCTTAGGAATCGTACAACTGCTCGTACCCATCGTCCAACATCGGGATGGCGGGTGGTGTTTCTTGCCGATGAGGCACAGCTTCCTCAGAAGACGATGAAGAGCTTGTGGTGCCGGATACGATGGTAGCAGCTGGTAGTCTTGGTGGGGAGACGGGCAAGGAGGGCGTTTCTTCTTTTACAAGATCTGCCGGTCTCTCCTCCTTCCGTTTTTCCAGGGGTCGGATGAGAAAGTCTAGAATTGAAGAGGGTATTAGATTTTTTAAAATACATTCCAATTTTTCGGAAAGTCTTTCGAAGCCTTTTTTCGAAATTCATATTTCGAAGTGATTTCCTTCAAAAATTAGGATTTTTAAAGTGATTTTTCAGAAAAGCCATATTTTTGAACGTTCGAATGATTTCGAAAAGTCCGATTTCTATGCCTTTTTTTAAATTTTGTTTTTGAGTTTGAGAATTTTGAAAGTAATTCGTTACAAGAGCCGAATTTTCGAGCTCATTTTCGAAAGTCCTATTCTAAAACTGTCGAAAAGAGATTTTTCGGAACACGATTTTCGAAAATATATACGTAAATCACAAGATAAACTTTGCAATTTTATAACGTACCCGGCACGAACGTCCAGTGAATATCAACATCTATCGTCGTCCCGGTCAGCTTTCCATCCGGCTGAATATTTCAGGCATGAAAACAATACCCAAACTTTACCGTAGTCATCGGGAATGTGCCGCGAATTGGCTTCCCATGCCTCAGCGGGCTGAGCGGCAGAATGAGCATCGACAGCACGCCGTCGCTGCCCTTGCGCGGCTCGGCCTCGACGAGGTAGAGTGAGATATCCTGAACGGGTTTTCAGGGTTATGGGCTAAAAAACGTACCGATCCGCCGAGCATTCTCACCAGATTTTCCCCCCGTACCATCGACCAATCGCGACGGTCGTTTAGTGTCAACTGGAAAATGCGGAATTTTCTACTAAGGGACTTAAATCCATAAGACCGAAATTCAAAACAAAAAAAACACTTTTTTTTTCTTTATTAAAAAAAAAAAAAATTTTAAAAAATTTTTTTTTTTTAAAAAAAAAAAAAAAAATTTTTTAGGTTTCTTTTAAAAAAAAAAAAAAAAAAATGAAAAAATTTTATGGAAAATACAAAAATATCGGTTTTCGCCTTAAAATGGCCGATTTTCGAGCCAAATTGCAATTAAAAAATTTTTCGAAGCTTTTTTTATAGTTTTTTTCCCTAAAAATATAGTTAAATTTTGTCAAAAAACACTTACTATTACGTTACTAGGAATTTCTGGAATTATAGGGAAAAAATTAGCCCCCTCCGCGATAATACGAAAGAACCGAAATCCTTTTAGGCACGCACCTTGCCTGCGGTGACCTTGTTGAAGTTGGTGAAATATGGCGAAAACGCACAAAACTCGTAGACGACCGCGCATTCAGTTGAATCTAAAGTTTCGCAATTTATAATTATTTAAGTTTGTCGATACCGTTAACTCCGGTGATGCCGTTGCAGCGGTGGACGACGATCGAAAGGGTGTCGTGGGCAAATTCTGAAAAAAAATCGGGATTTTTAGGTTACCAGCCAAACACAAACCCGGATTTTCTGTGGTGTCAATCGGCAGCATTTTCGTCGCGGTTTCTTGGCTCTAAAAACACAGGATTCTCTTTTATTTATTTTTTTAGTTACCGTATAAGCTTGCAGGCTTTTCGTGACGTCTTGAGAAATATTGAGCTCATAGTTGATGGTGGCGATCGGGCGTCCAGTTTGGAGCGAGAGGACCCTGAGACAGTGAGAATCGAACTCTGGTGGTGATTACTTAGCGGGGGGGAGGCCTCGTTGCAACATTTAACCTACACATTGTGAAACAAACTTTTCGAAATTTTGATCGAAATGAAACTTTTGAACTGGCATTTTTCACGAAAAGTCAAAATTTCAAAAAGTTTAGAACATGCCAAGAAATTTTCTATGAATTTGTTCAATAAAACGGGCGTGAAATTCTATTAAAATTGCTTCTATCTCATCATGACGAAACTGGAAAAAGTAGCCCCCCGCTAAAGAACTAGCTCCTGAACTTCCCGAACTCACTTGACCTGTCCACCGTATTTCCCGGTTCTGGTCGTAATTAATGGTCGAAGGGAGAGGGCGGCGGCGCCGACGTGTTCATACGAGGGTCCTCCGGTTGGGCGGTACATTTCCAAGTGGATACCATCCTAAAAAGCAGATAATCTCACGGTCCTGATGCATTAACGGGGGGGGGGCTGTTTTTAATGCTACTAACTGGCTAAAATTTGATAACCCCTATTTAAACGTTAAAAACTTGGCATTTTTGGCCATTTTTCATAGCCCTTTTCTCAAATATTTAAGATATTCCTAATAGCAATTGTGACAACTTTTAATATATAAAAAGAAAACGTAAAATATATAAAGAAATTAAGACGATTTTAGTTTTTTTTGATAAGGCGGATAGGATAAACTAAAAAAAGAGGAAAAAATTAGTCCCCCCCCCGATAACAAACCAGCACCGATGATCCAGGAAAAGCCATGTCTTACCGATTGAATATAGTGCACAAAAAGCTTCGAAACGACAATATTATAGAGGAAGGTATAATTCAGCGGTACTCGTTGTCCTCGCATCACGTTTGTCGTCTAAAAACCTCAACGGATAACAGATAATTCCTTTTAAAACGTACTTGTAGCTCAAAGTCAAAAAATTCTATGCAAAAGAAAAAGTCTTGCCGGTCTTCGTTGACGTACTCGGGGCTGAGTTGGACCTAAACAAAATTTATTCCTAGAAAAGCGGCTTTCGACTAACCAATGTCAATCTCAGCGCCACTTCATTGCTCGATCCCACTTCCGTCATCGGCTCCTCGTTCAGTAAGGCTTTTACCTAGTTTTTATTAAACGAATTTTTTGTGATTTTTCTACCTTTTGATTTCCGTAGGCAATAGCTCGGATTTGGCTCTCAAGAAGCGTGATTTTTCTGAAAATGTATATATTGAGCCGTTTAACTTGGTACTGGACTGTTAGCGGGGGTGGATTTTTAGTCGGGGGAAGAGAAACATGAATTTTCTCGAATCTACATACCCTTTAGTAATTTATAGCCTATTTTTATGGTGCTTTTAGTCGTTTTTAATTGCTGGGGAACGTAAATAAATATTTTCTAAATTTTTGAAAAATTGAAAAAATGCTCATTATCATAATTTTTCATACATTTTTGCACAAAATGTAAAAAACTATCTCGAAAAATTTTGATACATTTTTCTGTTTTTTTTTGTAGCTAAAAACTGTGCAAAATGCGATAAAAATGGTTTATATTTCTCAAGATGGTCGTATGGCATACCGGAAAGAAATCCCCCCCCCCGCTAACAACAGCACAGTACCAACAGGCCGTTCGAAAACTTACTTATTCCGTTCACTGAGCGCGTCCCTCATCTCGCACAGCGTCTTTTCATATTCATCCCTTATCCGCACCCCATCACTCTTCAGCAAGTTGACCTAAATTCGTGCTTTCAGTTTGAACGCCAAAATTGTTCATCTACCTCCTTCCCTTGCTTTTGGTTAATATCATGCTGCAGCAGCAACAAATTGCGAACCTAAATAAATATTTAGAGCTTTCGAAACGCTGTTAACCTTCTCCAACTCGTCGTACAGCTCCGCGTACAGCCGCTCCCACCTGGAATTTGTTAAAAAATGAATTTGAAAAATCCTACTTTAGCGACGCGCCGGTAACCGTTATTTCTTGTTGATTGCCGTTTGAGTGATCGCCAATTAAGGAGGAGACGTCATTCCAAAGCTTTTGAAGCAGTTCATTGCCGGCTTTGTCTTTCTGGAAAAAAGGATGTGAACAAAAAAGGTGGCAAACAAACCCTGCTTTTTCTCTTCTTTTCCTGAACAACAAGCCGCTCGACCGGCTCGAATTCGTCAATATTGGTTTGCGGTGGCTGGTCAGCGCGATTTGAATTTTCTCGAGATTTCGATTTCTCGAGCATTCTTCGAAGCATTTCCGTTTCGTTTCTTTCTTTTGCTAATTGTCGCTGATTTGTCTGAAAAAAAGGTTAAAAAGTGGGTTTTTCGCACTATCGGGGAACCTAATTTTTTATAGATAAGTTTTTAATAGTTTTCGATAAAAATTAACTTTATTTCAAGCGCGTATCTAGAAATTTTAAAAATTGCATCCAAAATCGGCCATCTCAGGGCGAAAAATAGCTTTTTTAAAATTTTTTTTTGGCAGAATTCTGGTCAAGCTTTTATCTTAAGTTTCATAAAAACGTTTCATAAGAACCTATTTATTTATTTGAGCGTTACTTACCTGATAGTCGCGTTTTGCATTTTTCAGCTCCTCCTCCAGCACCACTATCTTCTTCTCGAGATCGACGATTTCCATGGAATTCGCGTCCAAGTTCGGCTCAAGCGTTCTAAATTAGTTTTCTTTCGGAGATTTGCAAAAACTTACTGTGCTACGAGTCTCTCATTCGCTTGTTTTAGGATTGTCAGTTCTTTCCGGAGGGGTATAAGCTCAGCGCAGTTCATGCAGGACTAAAAATAGCTGGATTTCAACTAAAACACACGCTTACCGATTTTTGGGTCTCAGGGGTTCCGCCGCTTTGTTCTACGCTTCGTTCAGTGTTGGAAGAGAGGAGCTGTGCTTCGAGTTCTCTTATCCGGCGCTCGTTGGCTTCTGATTTGGCGGTCAAGGCCTCGATTTTCTAAAAACAAATAAAAATGGATTCGAACTGCTAGTTAACCTACCTTATCCTTCGTTTCCAGCTGCAATTGTTTCTCGGCCAGTTGTGCTTCCAGATCTCGATTCTGTCGGTTTAGCTTGATCAGCTGCCCTTTTTCAGCGACGACGGTCTCATTTACACGGAATGGCTGCGTCCTGAATTCTACTTTTAGTGTTTAATAAGCGTTAAATTAGCTAATAATGTAAATAGCCACTTTAAAAGCTGAAAAACCCTGTAAAGGAAAGGATTTTTACCTGTTTGTTGTTGGCTCCCCGCTTTGTCGACTTTGCCGTCCCGGTACCGTGTATTGCATGGGTCTTCCCTAAAAACCCAGGTTCTTTGACCTTATCGGGGGGGGGGGGTAATCTGATCCTTCCTACTCATCCAAATCTGCGTAACGTAAGTTTACAAGTGTTTTAATCGTGTTTTTCGCAAAATTTTACCATGTTTAAAGCGGTAAAAAAATCCAAAAAATCATGAAACCGAGAAATTTTGATCATAAATCGATATTTTCTGTCTTTAATAAAAATTTGCAGAGATTTTACGTTTAGGAATAGAAATTTGGTTAGAAAAAGTGGGGGGGGGGATCAGGAAAGGCTCTTACTGTAATAACACTCGCTGTGGCCGGCCTGGCCGAAGGATGGGTGTAGGTGAGGAGCTGGTGTCGCAGGCTTCGCAGCTGAATTTCAAGATTTTTTTCTAGAATTATAAAAATTTAGCCAACCTTTATTTGCAGCAACTCGCGATCCTTCTCGAGATCCGCATATTGCTCATAGGGGACCGTGGAAGCATGGCCGGCCGCCGATTGAGGACGCTTCAACCTAGCGCCGACCCTAAAAAATGAAAATCAGCCAAAATAGCCTCTCTTACTCTGATAACTGCTTCCCCAGGCCGCTATTTTTAATCTGCAGCGTTTGATTGTCCCGGAAGAGTTCGTGAAACCTAAAAACATATTTTTAGACGTAAAAATTATGGAAAATACCGATCTTCCAGCTCGGACCTGCTCCATTCTTCCACGGCAGGACGTTTTACCATTCTAAAACGAGTAAAAATTAGTAGAATCTAATCCATAACAGCTTTTTTAATGCTTACTAAATACATAGGTTTTAGTTGCGTGTTTGCCGGTCGTCAATGAATATTTTTACGTTTTACGCTACAAATTTATGTTTTCGAACATTTTTGGCCAATAAATCAGCATTTTTAACGTTTTAAAACGTTTCTAATTGTTTTGTATACCTAAAAACAGTTCGGATTACTCAAATAATCCTTGAAATTTATATAGATGGCTTGGTTCTTTAGGATTTCCGGGAAGTATTTCCGGGGGGAAACCAAATTTTTCCTGGTTTCCCGGTTGACCTAGTAATCAAATTAGAGTGTTTTCAGTTTTAGTAAATTTTAACTATATTTAAAGTAGAAAAACCTTTCAAAAAGTTAGCAAAAATGTTTGGAAAAAGTCGAAAATTGTTCATTTTGGGTCTTTCCCCCCGCTAATCCTAAAGGTTCTATAGGATTTTTCGACCTAAAATTAAATTTTTTAATTAAAATGTGGGTAGTTTTTATGCTCAGGAATAGTTAAAACCCATTTAGAAACGCATGCGCTATTTAGAAAAAATTTAGGCTTGGGCCGAAATTTGGTTCCCCCGGAAATACTTTCCCCGGAAATCCTAAAGAACCGATGGCTTCTATCGATTTTAATTTCTCTAAATTTACGAGGGTCTTAGTTTCAAGCAGCTTTTGGAGCCCGGCAACCATCGAGACTAAAAAACCCAAAAAGACACATCGATATCAATATAAAAAAATGTATATATTGTTAAAAAAGGGCTAATTGACGGGAAGTGACGCCCCATTAGCCAGCCAGCCGATAGTGGTGCTATGGGGGGTGGTCAGGGTATGAAGGGTGGATTGGTGTGTGAGGGTTGGGGTGTGTTGCCAGGGGTAACCGCATGGGAAAAGCTTTTCGCCCTTGTTTCCGCAATCAGCCATGTGGCTTCATAAAGCCTTCAAACTCTTGCTTAGGGTGCTGGTGCGTTATCGAGGGGTTTGAAAAGCGTTTTGTAACTTTTGGTTCTTTCTTATTATCGGGGGGAGGGGGTTATCAGCGAAATCACAATTTTTTAGTATCCAGTTTTTTCTAGTATAAACAGAAAGTGTTTCTATTTTCTTTTTAGTCGATACTTGACTATTTTTTCAGGGGCAAAAACCACCTAAAAACTATAAAAATGTTGTATATTTATTCGAAAATCGCGATCTTAGCTCGAAAAATCTAGATTTTTGTATTTTTATTTTTTAGCTTTTAGGTAAGGTTAAAAGCAAGTGTCGAGAAATAGTTCGTCTTGTTACCTTGGAAAGATTGGACCCCAAGGAAAATGTTCCACCCCCCCACCGATAAAGCAGAACCAAACTCTGTCTAGTATCTTTGCGTAGCGCATGCGTAAGGTGTAGTGTAGGGTAAACTTAATATCTATTCCAAACTATTTATTATGGACTACAACATTCGTACACAGGTCAATCAGCCGAGGCTGTACGGCGGGCGGGGCGATTTGGCGCCGGTATTCTGCCAAAATGCTCGCCAAAAACCGAGAAATCTACAGGCTCGTGGCGGCTAGTTACCGCCGGCTACACGTCGTGATGGGGGGAGAGGGAGAGGGAGAGAAATCGATTCGAAAAGCCTAGCAATACACGAGGGAGACCCATAACCAGCAGATGGACGAAGACGACGTTGAAACGAGTGTTTTTTTGGGGGAAGGGGAATTTGCTAATTTTCGAGGTACTGGTTCCTTAGCGGGGGAGCTAACTAGGCTGCCTAAATGCAACAGAAGACATTTTAACGGCTTTTTTAAAAGTCTTTTTAGCTAAAAACGTATAAAAACTATTAAAACTCTAGGAAACATGTGTTTTTTGGTGTTAAATTACATAGTTTTCAATTTTTTAATGGTTTCGATCGATTTTTAGAAGATTTCGTTTAGATCTTTGTTATAGATTTAGGAACTTTTTTAATCGCATTTTACGCTTTTTTAAACCAATATTAAAAACAAAGAAATTAAAAAATGGAATTGTTCGTCCATTTTTTCGGTTTTTTAATGTTTTCTAAAATTTTTAGTGATCCGAAGCTATTAAAACACTATATAAAGGCTATTTTTATTACTAGAGTGGTTTTGCTGAATAAAGAAATTTACCCTCACCCCCGCTAAGGAACCAGTACCAAAAAAACAAAGTTATTTTTTTAGGTCAGGCTAGGCTTGGCGCGCTGCTTCAGCTAGCTGTCGTTGAACAGCCTGGCGCGCCCTATAAGTAGAATTAAATGAGAGAGAGAGGGAAAAACCGTTACTACGTAGCAGAAAATATACCCTTTTCAGGCACCCATACACGTGGGGAGGGAGGGAGGGGAAAGGCCGTTAGTGCTGCTTTCCAGCGACCAAATTATCCGAGGGAGGGGAGAAGCTCAATAAAAAAATAGGCATAGAAAAATGGGCAAAATTAATAGTACAAACAACTAAACAGCGAATGCAGGGTAGATGGGTGGGGAGGACAGCCGTAATGTGTTACCAATAATCGATAAATGACTAGAAACACGACGCGGCGCAAAAAAAGAAGGTTCTATGGCATTATCGGTGGGGGGTTTCCATTTCTTGACGTAAAAGCTTTACAAATTTGCGTCAAAAATGATAAAAATATCGATTTTTGACCGAAAATCGCCAATTTTTGACCAAATCTTCGATTTTTTAACATCACCCCCTCGATAATGCAAAAGAACCAAAAAGAACAATAAAAAATCCATCGAATGAGGAAGGCAGGGCTGGTAATAAAAAAAGGGAAAAGCCTATGCAAAAAGAACAACTGAATAGGAAAATCGCAAGAAGGTGTTTAGGGCTTCATCGTGCCAAAGTCGGTGGACGATGTGGTGGTGGTTGATTGGTTGCTGCCTAAATGTCGCTATTTTTTTCCTTGTAAGCGCAGAAACGCCGCGCCACGTAATGGCAAAGCTTTTAATAGTTTTTAGTCATTTTTAAATGATATTTTAAGTGAAAAAATATCTAAAAACGCGTTACAATTTGAGATTTTGTTCGAAAATCGATATTTTTCCAGTTTTCAGTCCAATTTGGAGTTTTCGTTTAGTATTTTTTTAGTTTAAAAGCCGGAGAAAGTCATAATACCATCACTGACCGTTACTATTCGACGGGCTGTCACCGTTCGGGCCCTTTCCGGCGGCAATCCCAATCATTTGCGGCGATTGGCGGATGATGCCATTTGCCTAAAGTATATTTTTGTATTTATTTAATTAAATTAAGATATCTTGGCAAAGTTTTGAACCAAATCTGACTCACCAGTAAAGTGACCTGATTGGCCAGTAACGGGCTGGTAGCCGTGTTTCCGGCCGCGAGAACGTGCGGCATCGTAGACAGCACTTGGCCGAGCAAATGTGCTGTGCCACTGGAATTCAGGAGTTATAGTTAATTAAATATTATTAAATAACACCTTAACTGTTATTAAAATCAATTATTGATAATAGAAGTCACTAATGAGTCCGAATTTACTTACTTATTCATTGAACCCTGCCCATTCAACGCGGTGGCCATTTGCAGACTGTTCGGCAGCAACCCGTTCATCGTCGGCGCCAGCCCAGTGGTGGGCGATCGCGAGTTGGCGTCGTTGATGTACTGCAGGAAGCTGTTCGACACTGAAAAGACTGTGCCTCGTTTTGGAATACGATTCTATCAATACCGTCACGAAGGGCGTCTTGAGAATTGCCATTGGTGGGGAGGACGGTGAGTGCAGGGGCGCTGCCGTTCGTATCTTCATCATTGCCTGAATTAATATAAAACATAAAGGTAAATTAAGGTAAACAAATATTAAATTAAGCGTAAAAGGCGCCTAGGAAACTTTTCCTTTGCTTTTAATAAAGTCGAGAGTACTTTCATAATATCGGAGGGAATCAGACTTTTTCGGAGAAGTCTAGGTATGTCAACTAGTCGAAAAATGAGTATTTTAATAGCGTTTCGATAAGGTGTAGCTATATTTCAAGCTGAAAAGTCCATTAGTAAACTCCAAAAGTTTTTAAAAATTTGAAGTTTTGGTCGAAAATCGATAATTTTGTCTTTATATGAAAATTTGTAAGGTTTTGACGCTCAGGAATATTAAAAACAGTTTAGAAGTAGTGCCTCTTCTTATATTAGCAAAATTGCCCTTAGAAAATTTTTTGCGAAAGAACAAAGTAAAGACTTACCCGGCAATCTCATCGAAGAAAAGATATTCGGGGTGCAGCGCGGCGTGCCGAGCGGTGAATTTACCGCTGAGTTGCCGGCAGACAATATCTAAAGCAATATAGATAATGTTGATATCTAAAAAGTAAAAAAGCGGTTATTAATGAACCCACAATCGTCTCCAACAATTGGTTCTGGTTCATCAAATGGTTGAGGGCCTGCCGGGCATCACCCGTCGTCAACGGGCTCGAGCAGCCGCTACCAATCAGTTGGAACGGGGAATTGGCAGCTGCCTAAAAAGTGCTTTAGAAGGTTTTTTGATAACTGTTTTGTACTATTAAAACTTTTAAACGCTTGTAGAAACATGTTATTCGTCTAAAACCGTACCTGAGCAGCCACCATGGCGCCAAGTGCAAAATTGGCAGAAGTGACGGTGGGGTTAATGGGGCGCGGGGTTACCAATTTCTAAAGAACATCATTAGCTCGAAAATGTGGCTAGAAGCTCACCGCCGTGTTGTCCGGCCGGGTCAAGAAGTCGCGGACTGGCGGCTGACCAACCGCGACAGGGCTCGTCACGGAGGTGATGGCGATAGGGCCTGAAAGATTGGTGAATCAAACGATCTTCTTATATTCCTTTCCCAAAAAGTTAATAACATTTATAAACCGTTTCAAAATAGTGAAGAAAATTCCCTATTTATCATGTACTTTAAGTAATAATTTCTTTTTTTTTTTTTTTTAAAAAAAAAAAACCTTCTTTTTTTTTTTTTTTTTTCTTTCCCCTTTTTTTTTTTTTTTTTTTTTTTAAAAAAAATTTTTTTTTTTTTTTTTTTTTTT